CGCACGACAGCAGAGGCCAAGCTAGCACATGTAGAGATCATGAAGATATACCGTGCTGCCGCGCGCGCCCGCTTCCAGGAGGAAGTCCCCCAGGTTTCCGACAAGCTGGGCCTGGCCCAACTACAGAGACCCTCCCCAGACATCACGTTACGGGCTGCTGAACTCCGATTGTTGGGGTCTTTGTACCAAGCTGGGCCTGTACTGGCCTTTGCTTTTGTTTCAGCGGAGTGGACTGCAGCTCACGACGATCATACACGACAGCGCATGACCTTGGGCCAGTGGATTCAAGACCTCACATGGAGGCGACGGACGGTCAAACAGTGCCAGGATCCTCCATCCCCAGCCGATGACTTCAACGCTTGGGAGTCGCTCATTCGATGCAGTCAGCCAGCATGAAAGCGCATCATACGCATAGCAGTGCACGCGTCCACGCAGTATCAGAGCAGATGCACACGGGGGCAGCACACTGAGTCGTCTTTCTCTGCAGAGGCGCATGCAGCGGGAGTACCCCACCGCGCGCACACAGATGAGAGAGAACTACTGGCACAGCCGCCTGCGAGCGCGGCCGTGACACATATGGAGCGCCCTTGGCGCGGCGAGGTTCTTGCTCGACATCGCGCGCTGCGCACGCACATCGCACGCATGCAACGACAGCTCGCGACGATTGTTCGGGGATATGCAGGGCACGATGGGCCATGCACAGTGCGTCTACTGAAGTCCAACGCTCGACCGCATCTCGTTGACCACCTTTCGATCGACTCGCCCGGATGCCTACTTACCCACATACGTACCAGGGACAACCTTGCTTACCCTTTCCAAGACCCTCCCCAGAATACCCAGATGGCGAAGCATACCAACCACGCATGCATACCACGCCGATGCCTGGTCGCACCAACTACACGCGCTTTCGGACCCCTTACACAGCTCGCCAGGGACGTGGTGGAGCTAGTCCCACAGGCGCACGCAGAACAGGTGCTGCTGGAAAGTGGCCCGCGCCGCACACCAGAGGGCCGCGCTTCCCTCCTTCCCCCTTATCCGCCTTCTCCCGACCACGAGGACGCCTGCCCACCTGTCCTATGCCCGCCAGCATAGCACGGACGATACCCCACTCACATGTTCTTGACCGAACAGTACACAGGCAAGGCTGCGCAGACATTACCATCGGCCATACGTCGGTCGGAATATTCCACCCTCAACCTGCACTCTTGACGACGACGGCCAGGGAGCATTCAGGCATCGCTTGACTGGATTGAATATAGTACGGACTTTTGGGCCAGCGTACTATCGATCGACATCGCCATCGACCCCGTACTAGGTAATGCGATGCGCCGCGAGTCCTTGGAAGCTGAGAAGGAACACATTCGCGCTCGACGGGTGGCGCTGCCAGGCGGGAGGGCCACATGCGAGACGTGGTCAGCAGTCCGATGGGCCCCCAACATGGGGCCCCCACCGTTGCGCCCCCACGACGATTTTGGGGGGCTCTCGGCTGTTACCCCGCAGCAGATGGAACAGCTCAGCGTAGGGAACGAGCTACTATGGGGCTATGATCGAGTTGTTCGCCGTACATCCGACAGCGGGGATCAGTTGCTGCATGGAAAACCTCAGGCCAGCTAGTTGGCGAGCAGAGGCAGTCAGCTCTCTCCCATGCCCAGCGCTCAGAGCAGCGGCGGCCTCCCCAGCGGCAACAACGACCGACGCTGATCAGTGCCAGCACGGCCAGGTAGCACGAGCACCCACGCGCATCCTCGCATTGCGAATGGGCACGTTGCACGACCGTCTGCACGACACACCAGGGAGAGGACGCTGCTCGCACGGCCGCGGGACCCATGAGGTGCTCATGGGTTCGCACAGCCAAGAAGAAGACCTACCCTCTAGCGTTGCGCCAGGTCCTAGCGGACGGCGTCATGGACGTTGTTAACCACATGCGTACGTCATGCTCAGTTGGGGAATGGCCAGAGGATGTGAAAGAGAAGGAGGAGCAGCTCCGAGGGTCGCTTAGGGCCTTCTATGTAAAATGGGACCCATACTTCGGGACAGACGAGACCTGGGCTCCAGATTTTGCCTGCCCAAGTCCAGGACGGGCCCGCGCGGACCCCGAATGGCACGGGTTCTTACTTCTCACGCCGTCGGACACAGAAGTTGAGCCTTCACCAGGGACCTCTTCCGACCCTGAAGCGACTCCATGGGACCCCGGCCCCGCCGAGGCCTCCGACGAGCAAGAGCACGTTGAAGTTTTAGACGTTGTCGAAGGCAACAGCATACCTCAGCCATGGTACACAGACCCCCCTGCCCCTGCCCCCCCCCCCCCCCTTGCGCGCCCACCCCCCTCCACGGCCAGTAGAGCTCACGGAGGACATTCGGCAACGCATTGCATCCAGTCGAGCGCAGGGCCAAGGAGCGTCGCAGGCTACGTCGTGCCAAGCAGATCGCCCCTTGGACGTTGCAGCCTGATTTTTGACCAAGCGCGAGACTAGTCAGCTTCGCGGGTGGATCGGTCGGGCAGGTTTAGTACGGGACGACGGGACGGAGGGCATTTCAGCAGCAGATGCGCGCAGCAGCCAGCTTCGCCCAGACCAGCGCCAACTCGACGAGGCGGTCACCTCTTTCATGTCCATGGCCGTTGGGCCATTTGTTGGAGACGTTTCCCCACTTCGCGCCTCCCATGCACCCCTCCCCCCTTCGCTTCCCTCGCCTTGCCCCCCCCCTTCCAGAGACGGACGCAGAGAGAGCTGGGAGCAACCAGCGGCGCAGCAGAGTAGCAGCGCGCGCCCGCGCGCGGCCGCCGCCCACCCACGCCGTCAACGGTGGGCACTCCCGGGGGAGAGTCGCGCGGCCGACGTTCCTAGTTCGAGCCTTTAGGATACACAAGTCGCAAAGTGTTGCTGTTCAGGTCAGAGCGCGGTTTGTGATTTCCCTCCCCCCTCGGCCGCCAGGCATTCCGTGCCTCCGCCCGTTAGGATGAGGAACTGAGGTGCAGTTGCAGAGGAGTTGTTGGGACATGTTGTTTGTCCCCCGCGCACGCATGCCGAGCGTGCTCCTCTCACCCTTGTTGTGCACAGCCTTGATTGAACTGACTTGGCGATCAGGGCCGCGTCGCCAGCATCGGTCCAGGACCGCCCCGCGTTTCTGCGCCGTTGCCGCTGACCTGACCACGGTTGAAAGTTTTACTGCGCACTGATACCTAATCACGGGTGCCCGTGCAGAGTTTTCGAAGCTCGACGTTTAGATCAGCTGCGATTGTGCTGGATAGTCTCTGCAAGCTGCGTGCCAATCTTAGCTGACAGGCTATATGCTTCAACAGCGTCGCAATCAAAAAAAAACATCCTTCCACGAGCATGAGTGCGAGTGGGCCTGGCGGTGGGCGAGGAGGAAGAAAGGCGGCGGGCAGGAGGCAGGAGGAGGGTGGAGAGAGGCACCACACAGGAGAAACCCATCTGAGGACGCGGGGAGAAACAAAACTCCGTCGCTGTTGCTTCGCGCCCCGAGGGTGGCCTGGGTCCTGGGCTTGTCTGTCGCTGACCTGAGGGGCGCGGCGAGGGCCCCCCCCCAGAGGCTGCATTGGCGCTTCGCGCCAGCGCACCTTGGTCCTCCACGTCGAACATGCAGGCGTAATGAGAGAGAGAGAGGTGGATCAATCAAAACAGCCATCGCGGTTGGTTGCACTCCTTGCCATCGCCGTTGTCATATTGCTGTTCCTTCTCCTTCCCCCAGGTGTCCTCCTCTTCCTCCTCTTCCTCCTCCTCGTTCGCGCTTCCGTTGCCCCGCGAAGCCTTCCCCGTCCTCTCCAGATTTGTTTTGCGGAGACTCCTCCGAGGCGAGCTTTTGGAAGACCTCGCGAAAGCTTTTTACGGGCTCCCTGGGCGCCTCGGGAGACGTCCCCGGCGCCTTTTAACGGTTTCTAGGGGGGTCTTCGGGCCACCATACCGCGCACCGTGGTTTCGGGTCACGGTGCGAATGCTTCGGGAGGGCGTCTTAGGTCAATGTTGGGCCGTCATGGGGCCTTTTGTGAGCAGTTTCTGGGCCCTCTTGGGCCGTCTTGGGCTTCTCGCGGGGTGTCAAAAAGCCTTTCTTGGTCGTCTTGGAGCGGTTTTCGGTGCCTTTCGGGCTATCTCGGACGCCCGGAAGACCGAATAACCGAGGAGGAGGAGGAGGAGGAGGAGGAGGAGGAGGAGGAGGAGGAGGAGGAGGAGTAGTCATCTCGGACCGTTTCAGGGGTCTTTTGGGACCGCCGCCGGTCCGTCTGCACGGCTTGGCAGGGAGGGATGTCCAGAGTCTCGGAAATCTCGCGGGACCCCTTGAAGGGGCGTCCAGGAGCCCCGAACGTTGGGGATCTCGTTTCGGGGAGAGTCCGCACCCCCAGATCATCAGAAACATGCTTAACAACAAGCAATCGCAAACGAATATTGAGGAAAAAGAACACACTAAACGGGGCACACGAACAACAACAGCCAAAAAAACACAAAATTGAGGTTCACAAAATGATGGGAAAAAGTATCATAAACAATTCAACAGCAACGTGTAAATAATAAAACAGCACGCATACAAAAAGTCACAAACAAAAAGCACAACAACAAACAGACAACCAACAAAAAGAACGGTCGGATTTTGTTGGATAGCGCGTCGCTCCGCCGGCTCCCACGACTCTGCGCCGCGGCACGATACCCATTTCCATTTCACTGGGCGTCAAAGTTCCGAGTATCCCCGAGCCTCCCACCTCGCGGAGCGGAGCGACACGCAATCCACTCGCAAGGCATGCCGTGTCGCCAGGGCCGCCGGCGCGACACGCTATACAAAAGTTCCTGACCGTTTGAGTCATGTTTCCGTGGCCCGAGGGGGGATCGACCTGCAATCGCTTGCTGAGGAGGAGGAGGAGGAGGAGGAGGAGGAGGAGGATCGAGGATCTAGGAGGATCGAGGAGGAGCCTCCTCGGAGGAGGATCGAGGCCCGAGGAGGATTGAGGATCGAGGGCCGAGGAGGATCGAGGGGCGAGAGACCGCGAGGCTGGCCGCGCTGGCGCCAGCCCTCGGCGTCATGCTGGGCGCCCTGCGGCGGTGCGGGGCGGAGGGCATCTCCGTGGTGGCCTGCTTGGCGCCAGTGGCCGGCGGGGCCCAGGCCTCCTGGCTGATTCGTTGCGCCAACCGTGGCCGCGCGGAGGCTCAGGCCCCCGCCCTCCTCCCTCCTCCGCTCCCCCCTCCCTCCTCCGCTCCCTCACTCCTCCTCCTCCTTCCTCCTCCACTCTCCTCTCCTCCTCCTCAACTCCACCTCCTCTCCTCCTCCTCTGCCGCCTTCTCCGCCTTCTCCGCCCCATCCTCCTCCTCACAATTAGCTGATATGATACCTACTCTCCCTCTTCCCCTGATACGGTTGAAGTGCGCTCAACCCCCCCGCGTATTGTTTTTTTTACAAAGGTTTCCCCAGAGTTGGGTTTTCGCCTTCATTTTTTTTCAAAATGCTGCTCTCGCTGAGGCGCCGGCCTCATTTTCGGGCCCCGCTCGTTCCGAATCGTGCTCCCGCTGCAGCGCTGGCCTCATTCCCGTGCTTCCGCTCGTTCCGAATCGTGCTCCCGCTGCAGCGCTGGCCTCATTTCCGCGCTTCCGCTCGTTTCGACTCGTGCTCCCGCTGCAGCGGTGGCGTCATTTCCCGTGCCATGCACGGCATGCAATGCAATGCCAGGTTGATACTACGCTTCGCGGTGCTCTTCTACGCCATGCCATGCCGTGC